GTATTGGTTAACTATAAAAACCGAATAATAATATTATATAAATCTATACAAGTAAACATTGATAATATAATTGTGGAGAACTATAATATTTAGTTATTAAAATGTATTTTATGGTTAAAATGTTTTAGTTTATTAAAGAATAATTTTATTTATATTACCTCCTGTGCTTACACCATCCAATCAATTGTCTTCACCTCCGGTTCATTAATATTTTTTTACATTTTATAAATAATATTTTTTTGTACATTTTAGAAATAATATTTTTAATATGGTTAAAAATTGAGTAAATTTGGAGAAAAAATTATAAATGAAAAAAATGACATTTTTTGAAACGAAATTTTAAAATGTTATTCATTCTTTATTTTTCTATTTTATAATGATTTTTATTGCAATATCATTTTAATTTAAAAATGTTATTAACCTTAATATGCTTTATGTTAATGTTTTAGGAATTACAGTTAATTCAATTCATTCACTGGATAGTTAAAAAAGAAAATAGTTTTAAAAGTGAATTAGAGGTGATGAGTGGGTTGTAAATAAATATAATTCATAATAGGAAGGTGTTGGAATTAATTATCAAGATGAGCTAACGAATTTAATTTTGAGCTTAAATTATCTAAGGAGAATTTGGGACAATTTTATTTATATTCAAGAGGAAATTATTAAATTGAAATTGAATCTTGTGTTTGACTTTAAACTTTATCAATTAAAAATAATAATTAAACCAAAATAGACTTTATTTAATTTATCAGAACATGTTTTTGATAACAATAATCATTAATAAAGTTGATAAATATTGAAATATTTATTTAATAAAAAATATTATCTATTTTTCGAATTTTTATTTTTAAAAAGATATTATTATTCAGTAATAAAACATTTCCTTTTTATGATAAAAGAGTAAAAAATGGTAGAAAGAAAGATGCATGGTTGTTTCTGTAGTTTACACGTAGTACAAGCTGAACAACTCACGAATTGACACCAGAAAAAAGAATCACGAATATGCTCCCAGCTCAACTCTTGTCCCGATTCTCGTGGCAACTCTTCCTCTTCTTCTAAATCAACGCTCACCGTTTCATCTTCCCATCCAACGGTTCTCCTTCATTCTCTCCCTCCCCAATATTAGGGTTTCGTTTTCTTCATCTTCGGACACTTCCCACATTTTCTCCTCTTTTCCCTCCTTCAGTTTTCTCGCAAAAATCATGGTGAAAGGTCCAGGTCTCTACACTGACATCGGCAAGAGAGCTCGAGGTAGCTGGTTTTTCTTTTCAAACCATTCAGTGAATTCAGTTTTCATTTATCTCTCTCTCCCTTTTTCCCCCATTTTCATGCACTAATCTGCTTGAATATCTCACTTATACTGATGATTGCTACTCAGATCTTCTGTTCAAGGATTATCAGAATGACCACAAGTTCACCATCACCACTCACACTTCTACTGGAGTGGTAATAATTGTTTGTCTTTGTGTAGTGATTTTATTGTTTAAACTTGATGGAAAACGTATTGTTTTTGTTTTCGTATATTGGTTACTCTTTAAGTTTCATTGCTTTTTCTACATTTTCATTGGAACCTTGTCTTGTTGGAGTTAGAAGTTTTGCATGTTGTTCTGTCTGATTATTTTGCAATAATTAGCAGTAATTTGAAAATGATTCAAGAAACTAGAGAAGCCTTTTCATTTGAGATTATGTTTTGTTAGCCTGAAATCTGGATTTAATACTCTGTTGTAATAGCTTAGGTCTCGTTGCACTGATTATTTCGCTGGCTTTATGTGTTCAGGAAATTACTTCAACTGGAGTCAGGAAGGGTGAGTTATATTTGGCCGATATCAGCACTAAGCTGAAGAACAAGAACATCACATCTGATATCAAAGTGGACACTAACTCAAGTGTAAGTTGAAATTTATTGGTGNTTTCCCTCCTTCAGTTTTCTCGCAAAAATCATGGTGAAAGGTCCAGGTCTCTACACTGACATCGGCAAGAGAGCTCGAGGTAGCTGGTTTTTCTTTTCAAACCATTCAGTGAATTCAGTTTTCATTTATCTCTCTCTCCCTTTTTCCCCCATTTTCATGCACTAATCTGCTTGAATATCTCACTTATACTGATGATTGCTACTCAGATCTTCTGTTCAAGGATTATCAGAATGACCACAAGTTCACCATCACCACTCACACTTCTACTGGAGTGGTAATAATTGTTTGTCTTTTTGTAGTGATTTTATTGTTTAAACTTGATGGAAAACGTATTGTTTTTGTTTTCGTATATTGGTTACTCTTTAAGTTTCATTGCTTTTTCTACATTTTCATTGGAACCTTGTCTTGTTGGAGTTAGAAGTTTTGCATGTTGTTCTGTCTGATTATTTTGCAATAATTAGCAGTAATTTGAAAATGATTCAAGAAACTAGAGAAGCCTTTTCATTTGAGATTATGTTTTGTTAGCCTGAAATCTGGATTTAATACTCTGTTGTAATAGCTTAGGTCTCGTTGCACTGATTATTTCGCTGGCTTTATGTGTTCAGGAAATTACTTCAACTGGAGTCAGGAAGGGTGAGTTATATTTGGCCGATATCAGCACTAAGCTGAAGAACAAGAACATCACATCTGATATCAAAGTGGACACTAACTCAAGTGTAAGTTGAAATTTATTGGTGAAGTAGATTTGAATTAGAAAACTAGCCATTTCTTTCAGACCAGTTGGATGTAATAAAAAGGTTTTTTAATTGTAGATGGACAATATTTTTGCCTTGTGATTAATAACCGGTTATTCGCTTTATTTATTGTATTATGGGTTTGCAGATTTGTTATTTGCGTAGTTTGTATTACTGTGCTTGATCACTTTACAATTGAATTGACTATTGTACACTCAGAGTGTCATGAAAAAAAAAATCCGATGAGTAGCTGGTTAGAGACATATGATACATTGCTCATCTGACTGAATACTTTTCAGCTACGTACAACCATTACCGTGGATGAACCCGCTCCTGGACTCAAGGCAATTTTTAGCTTTATTTTTCCAGATCAGAAATCTGGCAAGGTAAAAGGCATTTTCCTTTGCTCTATCTTGCGAAGTATTTATGCAATATGGGTTTCTGTTTTCTTAAATTCACTTAATGCAGGCAATAATAATATTTCTAGTTATCCTGGATATTAATATCTGCTGAATTGTCCATGGTTTAACAGGTGGAACTCCAGTACCTGCACGAGTATGCTGGAATCAGCACCAGCATTGGATTGACAGCAAATCCCATTGTTAACTTCTCTGGTGTGGTTGGAAATAATTTGGTCGCTGTGGGGACAGATCTTTCATTTGATACTGCGTCCGGCAACTTTACTAAATACAATGCTGGGCTGAATATTACACATGCTGACCTCATTGCATCTCTAACTCTGTAAGGATCTAATCCCAAGGCCACCAATTTTAGAGAGGGTTATCGATATATTGTTTTCATCTTGAATTGATCTGATGATTCATCTGTTCCTTTTTCTTAATATAGAAATGATAAAGGTGATACCCTCAATGCCTCATATTACCACATTGTAAGCCCGTTGACTAACACTGCCGTTGGCGCGGAGCTTTCACATAACTTTTCCAGCAATGATAATTCGCTCACCATTGGTACACAACATGCTCTGGACCCGTTAACGCACTTGAAAGCTCGGGTGAACAACTATGGTCTGGCAAGTGCTCTGATTCAGCATGACTGGAATCCAAAAACTCGTTTCTCTCTTGTTGGGGAGGTGGATACTGGGGCCATCGGAAAGAGTGCAAAGGTTGGTCTTGCTGTGGCCTTGAAACCTTAGATTTAGGTTTCACTTGTGGAGGTAATAAGTAATTGTAGGGTTTCGATTTCCCAATGAACCTTTGGTCCTTCATTCTGGAAGCTATATCAATTTCTTGATATATTGGTGGGCTCGAGTGTACAATCAATAAGCACAAACAAAACTTCAATTTGTACTTAACAGATCCACTCGAATTTGATTGATTTGGGGGCACCTTTGCGTAAGTTTTTTCGGCATGGAAGGTGATTAATTTCAATATAATTTGGGGTGTAAATCAAAGGTTTGATTAGATGGCTGGCGCGTGTTTGGTAATATTTAGTTTTCTTGGTTTTATATTTGAAATCATCCAGATTTTTAATGTATCTATTAAGATGCTCATTACACAAAACGACCCGAATGAGTTTTGACAAATAACTTTAATGTCATTTTTACTCGCTTAACTAATTTTTTGAAATATTTTCCTTTTCTTCTAAGATAAATATTTTAATTACCAAATAAAAATTAATTAAAAATTTAAATAAATTAATAAGATAACTTATATATATATATATATATATATATATATATATATATACACATATATATATATATCAAATGATTAAAAGTTAATTTTTAAAGTGCTTGTTAAAAAATTAAAATAAATTTGTTAGTATGTTATTCTTTTTATATTATAATAAATAATATCAAGGTAAGGACTGAACTTAATAAATGGGTCCTTTACAAGTTAGTGCTCACCCGAAACAAAAGAGTTTTGACAAAATAACTTTAATGTCATTTTTACTCAAAGCTTAACCAATTTTTTGAAATATTTTCTTTTTCTTCTAAGATAAAATATTTTAATTACCAAATAGTTCTCTAATTAATATTTCGTTTGTTCTACTCAATTTTTTCTATTTGCTTTCAAAATATCCATTTTTATTCTGCTTGATTCCTTATTTTAGAGGAACTACAAAGAAAAATTAAGACAGTTAAAGGAATTAAGTGGAAAATTGTGATAGGTTGAAAAGACTAAATAATCAAGAAACAAATACTACATTTAACAAACTAATTACTAACGTGGGACTGTTTAGTAAAATAACGAGGGATTAATCTATAATTCTATGAAAACTGTTCAACCATCACCACTTGTCATGGATCTTTTAACGAGTCTGTCTTATTGGAATGATAATTTTTGCTGAAAATATTAACCAGAGATCCCCAAATTGAATCAATAAGAGTCTTCAGTGGGGCATACAAAAGCTCAAGCCATAAGCTAAGCAAGTTTATTTTAGTATCAAAGGGAAAAAGCACAGTACAATGTTCGACTATTCACAACTCAAAAGAAATCATGGATACAGTGGATGTGGAAAGGCTTATTAAAACGTAGAGAACTAGTTCAGACTCAATAGTCATAGACAAAATTAAAATGTATATATGGATAGAGTTTGGAAGAGAGAAGGTTCCTATGGTTCTAGTAATGTGATATTTGTGGCTTCATGACCTAGTCATACTTCCTTGTAGAAGACCATCTCTAAACTGTGAAGCAATATCTCTTACAGCACCTGGTCCGTGTGGAACAAAAACAGAATTGGATTTTGAGGACGCACCAATCTCCTTCAACGTGTCAAAGTATTGGGTCACCAAAACCATGTCCATTACATCCTTAGATGATGTCCCAGGAACATTCTCTGAGAAGGCTAGCACACTGTCCCTCAGACCATCTACTATGGCTTGACGCTGCCGAGCTATTCCAAGCCCTGCTAAATACTTTGATTCTGCCTCTCCTTCAGCCTTTTTAATCTGCAGAATCTTCTCTGCTTCAGCTTTCTCATTTGCAGCCACCCTCATTCTTGCAGCTATTATGGCCAGGGTAAATAAAACTGGTGAATTTGAGAGGACATTGATACTGATGCACTTTTATTCCAAAACTATAAATTTTGTTTAACCTAACCAGGTCAATGGCACTAATTTCCTGTAAATGAATGTTCCTTCTAATTGCATATATACTAAACAAACACATAATCATACCAGCATTTATCTCGTTCATGGCTCTCTTCACACGCTCGTCTGGTTCAATATCCACAATAAGAGTCTGGACTATCTCATATCCGTAAGCAGACATAGCCTTCATATGCATACAGCAAGTTAAAAACCAATGGATGATAACTTCCTTGTCCTCACTCCTTAACATACACACACAAAAAACTAATCACCTTTTCAAGTTCTTCCTCAACAGCTCTTGCAATTTCTTTCTTCTGCTCAAATGAGGCATCCAGATCCATCTTAGGAACACATGCCCGAATGACTGAAAAAGCATAATGGATTTGTCAGTTTTCTGCAATAAACCTAACTTTTATCAAGGAGTTTACTAAGATACAAAACGCGCACCGTCAAAGACATAGGCCTGAATCTGTTCCCTGGTATTGCTAAGCTTGTAAAAAGCATCAACTGCCTTCTCTGCCAGCGGTCGATATTGAATAGACGCAACAACAGTGACGAAAACATTGTCCTGGTATGTAATAAGTTCAGATAAGCAGAGAAAATTATGAAAAAAAAAGTACTTTGTTAAGCTATTCAATTGAGCAAGTATTACATAAGAGTTTCTCATTTATAACTTACTAATAACTTCTACTCAAAATAAGCAAAAGTAATTTATAGGAAGTCACAAAATCAAGAATCTTTAGACTTATACAATCAATTTTTTAAAACACTTACTATGAAAGGAGACAAATTATATGTAGTTTCATGAATATTGTTCTCTAATTGGAATTTTAGTTTGATAACACACATTCATATTTAACAGAATATTTTATTATGAAAATTATTAATGTAGAACATCAAATTTGATTAAAGAACAGTAATAACAAAATCTATAATACAGCTTCTATGTTTTCTCTATTATAAAATTCAACAAACTTACTAGACGTACGATGATGTATGATTAATCGACATTGTAAAAACCCTTTACATCGAAGGTGCATTTCCATTAAATTGGAAGACCAAACACCCCCTAAAGCTAATCAAGTTAATTGTGTTGGCTATACAATCTGGTGATCAAGAAGAAACCTTTGTTTTTGTTTCGCAACAAACATCCAGTTGTTGCAGACGCAAAGAAAGGTAACCAGCTATTTGAGTGCCAAAGAACCAGGGCACACAGTGGAAACCAGGTTCAAGCACATCATCATATTTGCCAAAAACCTCTTTGATAGCTACCGTAGATTGTTCCACTTGAAGACATCCCAGAGCTAGACCCATCTATATTCTTTCGGAACCCTGAAAAACAAATTGTCAAAAAGAAAAAAAAAAGTAACAGAACATGATTGTTATATTATCAAAAGTTTTCACAACAAGCAGAACATGCAAATTGAAGGGTACTAATAGCATGAAAATTTAAAAGGGGAAAGAGTGTAATGGAGTTAGATCTAATCGAAAGAGGAAGAATTCAAAGAAAATAACAATATAGAGAGAATTATAACATAGCATCCATATCCAAATTAGAAGAAAATTAGAACGAAACACCCAAGAAAAGAAGATTTTTTTGTTACCTGAGAGTTAGAGGGAAGGAAAAGGAGTGCCACAAACAGTTTTTTGTGTATGTCTATGTATCAACCCAACATTTGCGGTTTCATGATCCCCTGCTGTTAAGATATGAACAAAAGCACCTTCATTCTTTCTGTTCCCTTTTTTATTTTCAAAGTGAATTTTAAAATATTTTTATTGTATTTAAGTATAACTTTTAAAGTTTAGAGCAAAATTAATTATTTTTTCTATGGTGGGCAAAACGGACGACGGAATGGTCCTTCTCAATAAAAAAACAAGTAGATCGGATCATGATATTAAACACGTCAATCCGTATTATTGTCATTTTTTTTCTTTTTAAATTTTCACTTATTTTTATTTAGTTTATATTTGCATTTAATATGATGTAGAAATAAATAATAGTAAAATAGAAAGTGTTATAAATATTTCACTGGATCAAGAAAACTTATTATTTTTCTTAATATTTTCAAAAGAACCTTAATGATTTTGGTAGTAAAAAAAAGACAGAAAAAATGCGAGAAAAAAAGAAGGACAAGAATTAAGTGAAAAGATAACTTGTTTGATAAAAATAAAATAAAAATATTTTTTATTCTTATATTATAACAAAAACTAAAAACAAAAAATACATTCAAAAGAGTGTTATATAATTTATTAATGGGTTAAATATGTTTTTAGTCCCTAAACTATTGGTCGTTTTTTGTTTTAGTCCCTCTTTCAAAATAAGGTACAATTTGGTCCTCATTCTTTTCAAAACTTTGGTTTTTGTCCTCTAAAACTAACACCGTTAAAAATTAGCTGACATGGCTAACAGTAGACTGACACACGATTTTTTTTCAAGTGTTTCTCACCTTTTCTCCCCTTCTCTCTCTTCCTTCCATCTTCCACCCAACTTCATCTTTCACAGCATCCCTGGTTACATCTCTAACGTAACCCAACTTTCTTTCTCATGGAAATGGCAATCCCTTTCTTTGTCTCCTCCATCACCAAAGCAATTTTTTCCCCAATATCATGACACTTAACTTCACAACTCTTCCCTCTCGCAACCTCCACGCATATCCCAACCTCTTCCTCCAACAACTTACAGTTGTAAAACTACTCCGCCGCCGTCGGGCATCCCAGAATAGGCACCGCCTGACTCAGTGATTCCAGCACCGAGTTCCACCCGCAGTGACTCAGAAACACCGAAACTGCAGAATGCCACAAAATCTCCAACTGGGACGCCCAATCGCGAACCACCATTATTAAGCAAATATTGGCCAGAGCTTATTTTTTCTGCATGATAATGGTGCTTACATAAGCTGTAGAGTTTTAAAATTGTTCCAAATGGAAAGGATAATACAATAAAAATGGTGCTTACACCGGGTCTTTAAATATCGCAATATCTAAATATTCCCTCCTATCTCTGCAAGTTTAAAGCATATCAGCTTTATAAAAATATTATATGTCAGTAGCTGGCCCATCATATTTTGTAAATTCTTTCATAATATAAATTCTTTTATTACATTGTTTTTGTACTCAGTAGCTTGAGTTCATGAACACTTTCTTCCAGCCAGTAAAATTTTGGAGGTTATAATCAAGAAAATTAGTTCTCTATGTCCCAATATCTAGAAATGAAGATACAACATTCTGGGTGGAAGATGGAAGGAAGAGAGAGAAGGGGAGAAAAGGTGAGAAACACTTGAAAAAAAATCGTGTGTCAGTCTACCGTTAGCCACGTTAGCTAATTTTTAACAATGGTAGTTTTAGAGGACTAAAACCAAAGTTTCGAAAAGAATGAGGACCAAATTGTACCTTATTTTGAAAGAGGGACTAAAACCAGAAACGACCAATAATTTAGGGACTAAAAACATATTTAACCCTTTTATCAATGTACATATAAAAGGGATTTATTTCTCTCTTATTTCAGTATCATAATAAATATGCATCTTATTTTTATGTGTATTTTTTTACACTTTGGTGTGAAAATTTAGTTTTTCTCATAAGTTTATTTAAATAGCCTTCGTTTTATTTTTTCATATATATCATCCTCTTTTCTATTACCATGTTTCAATCTAATTGTTGAAATATTTTTAAACCTGTATTTTTATTTAACTTTGATGTGAAGTTGAGAGTACAGAATATAGGTTTGCCAGTGGAGTGAGTGGACTTACGCATCTTCCTTTTTTGTTTGATTAAGGTGCATTGAATTGATGCCAAGATATTTTTTTGAAAAGTTTCTAAACTTTTAAAATTAAATAAAATAAGAAGGAATGTAAAGTGAAATAAAATGTATAATTTGTAGTTTTCATTCTTCTGGTATATTTATATTTTTTGCCATTTTAGTTTTTCAATTTTATAAAAAATCATATTTTTAATTTAATCCTTAAATTTGTATATATTTCTAGAGTTTAATAATTAAACTATTTTTTAATGATATACGAATAAAGTATGCTATCCTAGTAAATATAAATGGAATATGTGTTATGTCAGAAAAAATATCTTCCTGTGATATTTAGGAATAAAGTTTCCTATACAAAATTATATTTACTAATTTTTTAAGTGGAAGGACGAATTTTAAGACATTTTAGCATTGGAATGGATTAATTAGTTACATTACATAAATAAAGATATCTATAAATGAGTTATAAATTTTGTTTATATTAGAGTGACTCTCATTATTAGTGTAATTATTTAATAATTTGGAAATGAGAAAGTATAATAGATTATAAGATTTAATTGTGATTTTTCTTTTTACCTTTCAAATTGAGATTTAGTAAATTCCATTGGAAATTGATATAAGAAATATAAATAATATTTTTTTTTTATTTTTTGGTGCGAGATCTTTTCAATATTCAAATTAATAAAGATAGGATAATTTTATTTTATGGGAGTAATATGACAAATTATATTTCTAATTGGCTTAAGATGAATATTGATGGTACAATTAGATATTGATGCAAATTTTTATTTATGCTAAATTTATGGGGTCATTTATGTTTTGGAGAATGTTTAGAAGGAGAGTTTTCAAAGACTTATAGTGAAGAGTGATTCTTTTTAAGTGTATCGTAATTTTTTGTTAATGATTTTGATTCATAAAGAACAATATAAGTGGTTTAATAAATTTACCTCACTGGATTTATTTATATTTTTTAAAATAAATATAATTTACCAATACTTTCTGAGATATAATTTTTATTATGGGTTTAGTGTGGTCTCTCCTGTTTTGTATTTTTTTATTTCTTTTTAATAAGTTTTGATGTGATGACAAATGATGGGTGAATTTTAAGATGTTATTATATCTCTATGGTTAAAGTTCACAATAATATATAATATGATCTTATTTAAAATTATGAAACAATAAAAAATAAAATACACATTTAAGGTCTCACTTAATTCATTTAAGAACAAATCTATCATTTTAAACAATTTTTTTTAAAATATAATCTTATACCATAATCAATTTTTTAATTCTTCAAAATAGTAAAATATATTAATTTAACACAATTTGTAACTTTACAATAAATTTATATATTTTAAAAAATCATTTATACAAGTAAACATTTATCACATTTAACCATCAAGTCAAATAAAGTTATTATTTATAATTTAAGATTTATAAAATATACTTTATAATAATTTTTTAAAATAAATATGCTATCCAAAATAAAATAGATAAATAATGAACCGGGTATCATAGAAATAAAAATAAATCTTTAGGCTTTTTTCCACTGCGAATTCAGGGTCAGGCCCATAGGCTTCTTATTATATGAATCTGAATTTAACTTTGGATCTCCGAATTACCATTATCGGAACCAAATCATACACGCCTTAGGCACTTTCAGAGGTAGACCCATCATAGCTTATTCTGCAGCTTTCACACCTTCATCTCTTCAGGTATCATATGTTTTTTCTTCTTCTTTTATGTATGTATATATAATAAAGAGACAAACTCTTCTTTCTTGTTTTCTTGGAGAGGTTTAATTTTCCAAGCTACCTTTCGATGTAACATAGTTACGTAAGTAGGATGTTAAGCATGTCTGTGTTGGAAACTCCAATGGAATGGAAGAATTTGAGTTTTGGCAAAGGGGTATTGTTTTCAAGGCTAAGCGCTAGGATTGAGCGATCTGGGTTTTCAAATTGACCCTGTTGGAGTCTTCCCTAGCCTGTGTTGGAGACACCCCACATGGGTTGGTGGGATAAGATACTTTAAAGCTTCCACCTTGGGATGTTTTTTATCAGAAGTGAATAAGTTGAGAAGAAAAAAGTGAGGCAGTGTATTTGGGTCTCTAGAAAGAACACTCAATGCTTGGTATGGGTAGGCATCATATAGTCACTTCTAAGTTTTAATACTTAACTTTAAACAAAATTGAGATTATTGCATTGCACACCGTTTTGGCCGGTCATTCGTTGAACCAGTGTGATTTGGACTAAAGGGTTTGTGAAATTTTCATCTCATTCAAATTTTAACACTGATTGACTGATTGATTTTAATATATTATTCCAAATTTATAATGTTGGGATTTGTATTTCTTCATGCTTCACTGCACTATCAAGGGCAAGCTGTGAAATTGGATGTAGCAACATTCTCTGGAAATTCTGTAACAAATGCAGAAGGTTACTGTATTATTGTTTTATAAATTAAACCAATTTTGCATCCTCTCGTCATATATGATGAATTTCCATCTTTTGAGTTAAGATCATGTGAATATTTTAATTGTTATATGGCTTCTGCTATTTGGGTAATATATGGTGGATTGTCGGCTATGCAATGTTTATCACCATCAACTAGCACTGGTGCTCACCAAAATCATATTGTTAAATCATCATTTTTTTACAGATAGAACACAAGTATTGTAGATGTATTCATGTCCATATATTCTTGGAATTGCAGCCTGATCTGCTATCATTATCCGCCCCGCCCCCCTATATTTCATAGTTCATATTTTTTATTTACAGTAAGCTCTCAAGGGTGAAGAGGACTTTTAAGTATGTATTTAGTTGTAAAGTCTTCTTCACGTAAGCAAGAATCCATAGATCTCATTTGTACTCTTGTTCATGTTAATCCAACTTATTTCTTTGTGTGCATGTTTCTTATCATTTTGATTTAATTTGAGTTGACATTCTGGGACTAATTCCTATATCTTTGAAAAATTGTTCTTGAATAATTGAATGAAGATT